TAAATTTCAACAGCAACAACAACAAAAATTGCTTATCAACACTCAGGCAAAGTAGTAGGTTTTGCAAAATTATTTCCTTTCTTTTAAAGAAAGAACTTTCATAGAATTGGCCAAGACAGACACAGCTCTATTTTCTTTAAATATAGCTGATTACATAAAAACAGTCTATGTCACAGGATGCAACAATATAAAGTAAAATGAAACAGTTATGAAAAAAACTTTTTAATTTGTTTCTCACTTGATGCTATTTGGTTTTCATTGTTCATGTTTTTGTTTTCCTTCTTTATTCTTATATTCTTAGTATTTTCAATTTTGTTCTTTAGAAAACTCAGTCTATGAATTTACCTCTGAATAGAATCTTGGCTGAAGCACATTAATGATTCATATGCTAAATATTTTGTGATTGCTTTTACAATTCCTTTTTTGCTTTTATAGTTACTAAGCTGAGTGCTTTTTATTTCCAAAATATTTGTTACTAAATTTGGAATGCTGTCAGAAAACATGGTTTTTTTTACTATTTTTTTCTTTGGGAAAGAAAAAAATGCCATGGGACATGATCAATAGCTTTAACTTCATGTTTCTAGTTTAAAAGTCTAGCTATTTTCTTTAGAGAGAGAGAAAAAAAATTAAAATCCATATTTCTATTGACTTGACATTAGTTACATAGTAAAATAGTCTATAGTATTTTATTATGATTTACTTGTCTGTTGAATTCAAAGCAAGGCACAAAGTCAACTATACAACTCTTCAAGCTATCTCTTCTGTATACATTTTTGCTTATACGTATTTTAATATTATGATTGAACATAAAGGATTGAACTGTCAGAACTTTACTGCAGTGCGTTCCTTTGTTAATATCAAATGCATATTTCCCCTGGTCTACTATTTTATAAGAATCCTGCCACATTTGTTTTCTTAATTTTTGCCTTTTTTCCATTTTCAAATCTTAATCTTTCTAGATCAACTTAAAGACTTTTTTTTTCCATTTAATTGAACTTTATTCCATCTAAATTATTTCCTATTAATTCAGGAGTTTCTCTTACTACATTTATTATCATAATTGTTTTATCCATGCTTAATCCTATTTTTCTTCACTTGCTATTTTGGCTTTTGGTTTGTTTTTTACGGTTTTTGGTTTGCATTGAATTGATTGGTTTTGGTTTTCTGGTTATTTTGTTTTACTTTATTTGGTTGCAAGGACTATCTCTCAGCTAACTTTCAATCTAAGAATATAATCTAGTGCCTGGCCCTGAAAGGGTACTAAATGTGTGTGAAATGAATAAACTAAATATAAATGGTAAAATGACATGCAAAATACACACACTTCTTTTAATTCCTTTTGTAGTTAATTTTTCAAAGCCTTTAGAAAACATTTTTCAAGGTTAACAATAGAATAATTCATATTACTGAAGATAGAGTTTTTTACTTTATTTGTATATAATACTCCAGTCTTTATTAATGTATGTCATATTTATGATCCCCATCATTTTCTTTTTATAATATGGAGTATTACACACACACACACACACACACACACACACACACACACACATACACACACACAAAGAGAAGCAGAACATATATACATACTTCAGGAAAAAAAAAACTTGCACAGACATTTTAAAATTAAATTTGTTGAGACATCATGAGATTAATACAAGTTACCTTTGGCCTCCACAATTACAAGAGGGGCTCAAAGTGGTGGCCATTAGCTTGAAGACACTTATTAGTACAGAGACCTGATGCTTGGGTAATCTTGATCACTGAGATTGTCACACACGCATTTTCAACTTCTTTCCAATGGGTTGGCAGTGTAGTGGGTTTTCTGTGATATTCGACATCTTCTAGGGCCCTCATACAAGGGTAACACCATATGTTGAAAAAAACTCAGTAATACTTTTTTTTCTTTTCCATTGTTTTAGTGCTGTCTCTCTTTCTCTCCCTCTCTCTCTATATATATGGAACCGAAAATGGAAACTATATATATATATATATATATATATATATATGTATATGAGTTATATATATATATATGTATATGAGTTATATATATATATGTGTGTGTGTGTGTGTGTAACTGTTTGTGTATATATGTGTGTATCTATCTATCTATATATATATATATATACATAGAGACAGAGCTATATATAGTTTCCATTTTCACTTTCACACTTACCTTGTTTTATATCTCATTTTTCTAGTAAGTATCTTAAGTATATTTAGGGAGGTGTCATTCAGGTACATACCAAGGTTTCTAAATCTTTGCCCATATGTGGACATCTTTCACTGCCTTCCAAACTTCATGGCCCAGGGAACTATACCTGGAGAGCCAAACCTGACACATACTTGCAAATTCCTACAATGAGTCCTTAGGAGCCATGCTCCTCACTTTTCAGCCAAGGACTTGGTTTATTTGTTTATTTATTTATTTTTGTCTTTTTCTTTTTTATCGGTACTGGGGATCAAACTCACGACCACACACTTGCAAGGCAGGTGCTTATGTCACTGAGCTAAATCCCCAGCCCCAGCCAAGGACTTCTTTATTCAGGGTAACACAGTCTGCATGTCTGGCTGGTTAACATCAGTAAGTTGTAACTCCAAGTGTGTCTGGAGCAGGTAAAAGTCTGAGAACCAGTTTTTTAGAAGGTGGTGTCACTGACAAGGCTGAGGCTAACAAGTTTTGTTTCTTCAAGGATAACCTGATTTCTGTTTGCAGTACCTGGCTGGGTCGGGGTCAGGGCCATCTCTGTAGCCCATAGTGAACAGCGCGGGGATTGCCAAGCCCTCTAGAAGCACTTGTGTGGGAGGATGGAGCTCTTGAAACAAACTGCAGTGCTGATGCCAGATGGTTGGGGCTGGATGCTGGGCAGCCTGAAACCACATGTCCACATGTGTCCACTACAGGCAAGCTACAGAGGACGGGATTCCTTTAAGCTAAATATTTATCTTCTGTGTGCCTTCTGCTAAAGAGTCTCACCAAGTGTTTCTAGAGGATATGATTTAAGCCTAGTAGACCGAATTGAGGTTACCTCCTGGATCTCATTCTTCATTTACTTTTCTAATGTACACAGGCCTGTTTACTTAGCTGGGATAAAGTCCATCAGTTGTATACAACACACACGTTACATTTTTCTAAAGCAATTAAACAAGTTGAACTGTAGAAAATGAAAGTAGCTTACCTTTGTCAAGGAGCAGATTTATTCACCAGCAGGAAACACTGGGGGAATTTGGACGTGGCATTCACATAACATCTCTTGCCACTGTTTTTTTTTTTTTTTCCTTCCCCCGTACAATATGGGACATTTGTTTCATGTAAAAAATTTATAGTTCTCCACTGTGAAGATGGTGTATGTTGTGTATGTTGAGTTGCAGATTAAGTTTAGTATTAACTGTGAGTTGTTTACTTTGGAATGGAAAGTGGGAACTACAGGGCTAAATGAAGGCAGCATAATGCTCTCACACTCCAATGCTTAGTATATAGATCACCCCTAGAGGACCCGATATTTGAAAAACAGAGTTAAAAAAAAAAAGAAAATTCAAATAGCTAAGAAAAAAATTTTTAAATGCCAAACAAATAGAAAAATTATATTAAAAATGACACAATGGCAATATACTAAAAAAAAATCAACTAAAATAATAGGCATTGACCGAAAATATTTGTTCAAATCAAACCATTACATTAAACTAGGACCCATCACAGGCCAAACTCTGGTTGCCTGCCACGTATTCCCTGTTCTGCTAGTCTGAGCACATGAGGGCCCAGTTCCCTGCATGAGGCCTGGAGTCTCTTTGGGGAGAACAAAGACCAAAGCCAAGGTCCTTACTGAATTTTGGCATCCTAAACTCAGAATGTCCTACGCAGTAAGCCAACTGGATTCCCTAAATCTTTTCCAAACTTTTGGCTGGCAGACTACACCTTTTCCTATCCTATACTTTACAGGTTTTTCTATTTTTAATCCAAAGATAGGGCTTCGTTTTCACCCCTAACAAACCATTTTGCTTATTATTTCAGTCCATTCCACTTGAGAATCTGTGATAAAATATCTTTGTCTCCAAATTTCTGGCAGCCTATCAATGTTACTTTCTGTCGCCTCCTCCAATTATGGGTTAGAACAAACAGGATAAAGCTTTTTAGATTACAGTTTTAAAACAACCTGTAAGCTTAAAAAGATGGCCACTTTATTCAGTGTTCACGGACAAAACAGATCTGTGATGTTCGTTCTCTACATGACAGGTCTGTGGCTCCGCTTTTAGGGTAGACATTTCTGCTGGGGACATGAGAGGACATCATGGAAGTAAACACTTCCAAGGTTAAGTGGGGAAAGATGTGTGTATCAACTTCATCTGCAAGGCAGGGGCAAAGATGAGGGGCTCTGCAAAGCAACTACTTAGGTTGTCTCTGCCTTCCAGAACGACAGTGCGAGGTGGAGGATACAAGGTGAGGCTTGGCAGTGTCTCAGAGGAGCAGGTTCCCGCCAGAGCCCTTTATTAGCACCGTTTTTCTTATGTACATAATAATATAAATGCTGTTAATGTAAAACACTACTTTTTCTTTTCTATTATATTACAATAGAAAATGCTTCTATTATAATAGGAGAAGTATTTTCTTTATATCATCTTGGCAAGAAAAAACAACAACCCATGATTGCAGCTGAGCAATTTTACAGCAGACAGGATCATGCTCCGTGGGGTCCAGAGCATAAACAGCTCCTGAGATAAACAGGGAGACAGCAGGCTAATCCGATCCTACATTACTCTGGAGAGTAAGGCTGCTCATCAGGATCCTTCCGGAGGCAAGACGGATAAAGAAAGACAAATATTCCTGAAGTTTTACCAACATACCACTGTTTTAGTATAAAGAACTAAACCAGATACAATAAAGTTGAAAAGCAGGATTTGTAGCATAAATATTTCACTTCAGATCCAATCAATGAGTTACCAATCTGCTACTCTACAATGACAATCCTTTTAACTAGAGTAAAAACAGAATATACACAACCTGAAGACAATCGGACTTTGCTTTATTGAATATAAAACACACAATCAATATTAACAGACATGATTAAACAGAATTTATAGGATTACCATGTAGAATATTTTTAAACAGTAATCTGAAACACTCTTAATGAGAATTAACTCATTTCTCTTAATATGACAATTAATTTATAACTTTTCAGCCAATATCCATGATAGTCCATTTCATAAAAATTCTATTTCTTGAGAAGAACTAAGTCTGAGAAAATATAAAAAATTCAGAAAAAAAATATTCGCATATCTATTCATAATCTTCCTATTTTTCTGTAAGAGAAATCAATAAAAATTAGAAACATTCTCAGTTGCATGCAGGTCTACTTTCTTTAATGTATTTAATTTTAGGACAGAAACATTGTTCTATAATTTTCAGGACAGATTTAAATACTTTTCTTACATTTAAAAACAAATGCATGATCCAAATTTAAAGCCAGCATCTAAATACTACTTTAATAATAAGTCGTGGCCACCACTGTGACTTAGACTTTCCAGAGTGTGGCACATTAAGGCAGCATCATGGACAGCAAATAGAGGAAGCTGTCTAACCCGTCTTAAGTATAACTTATTGTAGAAAACAGTTGCTTCCACAGGCATTAAGTAGACACTAAAATTAAGCTCCCGTTCCTATGTGTCTAAAACAATACTAGGTGCATGTGGTTGATGGTAACTTATACCCGCAGCAACGTTCTCAAATATAAATACAGAAAATGAAACGATTATGGAAAGTGGCGGATGGGTGTGTGTATTGTTTTTTATCTGTACAAATATAAATGCATCTCTGTCTGATTTTGGGTGAGCTAACTTTGTAGCCCATATTCAGAATACAAGTAGTATAGCATATTTTTATCTTTAAAAAGTATACAGTGTGTTATTATGCAAAGTGCACTTTCCCTTTTCTCTTAAAAATCATGTTTTTTTCAAACTGCATTATTATTTTTGGACAATTTAGATATTGAAATATGAAGCATCTTAACCCTATCTACTCATTTTAAAATATTTCAAAATCACGTTGTCAGTGAGAGCAAGTTCTACATTGAAACTCTCAAAAACTAACTTAATAGCCCATAAGGGTATTTAGTTTGGTGAGAATAACATTGTTGAAGAGTCCATAAAAATGAGTTACAAAATCACTATAAAAAATGCCATTTATTTCATGATATTTTAGAAACACTCACTTAGCCAACCAGAAAAGGTAATAGTGCTTGGGTTTTTGTTTTAGTATTTGATTGTCAGTTAAAATTTTCCTTTCACATAATAAAGAGGGTTTTTTATTCAACAAATATCTGCTTTTCAGATAATGGAAAGGTAAGTTTGTGAATATGAAGAATCATCACAGAAATAACTATAGTTTAAGTTAATGGCGCTTGAGGGATAATTTTCAAGTACAGAAATTACCTCTTCATGAAAAGTAAATAGTTCAAAGAAGATGCAAAAATGAAGATAAAATGTGGAACAATCAAGTGTAAGATATATTTGCACATTCAATGTTAATGCATTGAATGATATTTTCTATAAATCATGTAATACAAATGCTCAACACATTTGACTAATGGCAACTATACTAGTAATGATTTGAAGTTTTTTCTTAAGTACATATTTTATTCTGAAACCTGTTGTTTACCAAATAAAACACACTGAAAACTACTGATCCTTGGGTAATAGCACATGACATCAGGGGTACATGTTAGATTTCTTGAAATGTAGGGCACACCTACCTACTCAGTCAATAGTTGATCATTTTTCGAAGGGCATCATAGCATTTCCATTTATCTGGGATATAAAAGGGTTCAAAAATGTGAGGAAATGGTGTGTCATAGCCACATACTCTGGATATAGGAGCTTCTAGGTTCAAGAAACATTCTTCCTGCAAGACGAAATCAAGATCGTCAACTTTAAAAGCACTTTTCCATATATATAAAAAATAAGACATTTCCATTTAAGATAACTTACTCACTTAAAACAGTTATATGTAAGGATACTAAAAGTATTTAAATATATTTTTATGTGAATAAAGGTAATAGCATGTTAAAATTATCCAAACTTTACCTACAATATGATTTAATATATATGAATTCATTTTATGTCTGTATACATGTCTATTACCTAAGGCACATGAAAATTACACTAACCATACTTCTTATGAATAAAAATGTAAGTATGACAAAAACATTAGCAAAATGTCCACATTCATAGAATCTGCAGCTCAAAGATCACGACTATGTTTTCTCATTTCCTGTATTTTTCGAGTTTTATTACATGAATTGCATTGCTCTCATAATAAATGTCTAATTCTTCCATAGTCCATCCAGAATAAACTTCCAACAGACATTTGACTGTTGCCTCATCCCTTGCATGGCCAGGATTTTGCAGCTTCCCTAAGCTGACTGCTCTCTACCTGACTGAAGAGTTATCTACTGCTCGGGCATCACCTCCACTGGGGAAGCTTTCTCAGACAGAAACTCCCCAGATGAATACATGAATCAGAGGCTTCTGCCCTGAGCTCCCCCAGATTAGACCTTGACAGCATTCAAGGTAGTGGACATACCATGTAGCTCCTCTGGTGAGACCCTGAGACATACTTTGTGAGACTAGAGACACACTTCAAATATGTAAAATCAAACAATATAGGACATTTATTTATTTAAAGAGAAAAAAAACCACAAAGCAGTAAAAGGGTACAAGTCATACAGAATTTCAAGAAAAAATATACAGTAAGAAATCACTAGTTAATAGATTACATATTGTCATCTTAGAAACAGTTGTCCAAATTACAAAATTAAAGCATGCAAAGTGGACATTCATACAGTGAGATTGCAGATAGTTCTGTTCAATGACCCAACAAAAACTCAGTAATATGGTTTTGTATCCTACACACTTAAATATATATGCAGTTATATAGGACATTTATTTTTAAGGAGAAAATAATATTATACCACTAAAAAGTCAACTTTTTAAAAATAAAAATTTTAACGATCTGAACTAGAAAAGATACGTGATTAAACTAAACTACTGCAATGAGATAATATTAATTTTACCATTCAGAGGCATTACCTGAAATAAAATATTTGGTTTTAATTTACCTATATATATACTGTCTTGTTTTACCAAGGACTTGAGAAGATCTAAATGTTTTTACATGTTACACTATTTTTAAATTTTAACTTGAGCAGACTGTTTTACATGAAGAAATCTCAACACTTTATGCTCAATCTGTATGCACTGTGCAATTTTTTTCCCCCTGACAAGTGTGCTGGGGCAGAAAAGACATGCAAACAGGACAAACCAGCGCTACGAAGAATGCACTGTCATTTACAGACATCCCCGTGGTGGTGGCAACTACTGTGACAGAATCAAACACCAAATAGGTGCCACACCTCCTAGCAACAGGATGTGCCATGAACAACTTTAGGATTTTTAATACATATAAAGAATCACCTAAGAAATTCTACTACTCATAAGCTGAAACAAGCTGAGAACTGTCTGGATTATTTCTTGATTGCAACAAGTAATTTTAAAAGCCTTTAAGTTGTCAATTTAGAAATAGCTCAGTTTTGTTTCTTGAGCTGACACAGGCTGTGTCTTTCATCTTTCCTGACTACTGCACTTTTTGTAAATGAATTATAAACAGACACTGCAAAACAAGAGTATCAAGGGAAAAATATTTCACTAAATGCCTTTCACTTTATACCCATTATAAAATACTATTGATTCAAACTAGTCACCCGGAATGCTGGCCTATCATAAACTGCGTGATCAGTGTTTGTAAAATCACCTCCTTTAGCATAATGGCTCACATCATCAAATTAAAACACATTTTTTTTTCCCCACACAGCAATGGTCCCAACTCTTCAAGAATGTGAGTATCAGTCTTTCCAGAAAGACATCTGTATGTTTGCACAGGCACAGAAAACAACTGTTGCCAGGTGACACTTGAACTGTAAATGGTAGTTATCCTTTGAGGAAGGAAGAAAAGACTGGTTTGTATGTACTACTTGAAGTTTTATGAGACAATACAAATTCTGTAACCTAATGACACTGAAATAAAGAAAAATAAAGTGAAAATTCTCTTTCTAGTGTGAATAAAAGTTTCTATCTTAATGTTCCATAAATTTGTAATTCTACACACCAGGTAATGAAAAGAAACATGACCTTAAAATTTCACGTTTATAAAACATTATATCCTGACCAATTGAAATAGAAATTGTAACTCCACTAACCAAAGTATAGTGAAGAGTCTCAAATTATTTCTTCTATGGAGTTCTGACTTCTTTCAAAGCAATGGAAATAAAACGTTTGCATCAATCAAGCAGTTTTTATTATTACTCCTCACTGAATTTATTCATATATAAATGATTTATTTGTGAATAGATGCTTCTTTGAGCTACATCAAAACAAGGCACCTTGTTCAGCTTTAGTTTTTTCATACAGAAGCCACACATACATATGAACACATACATAAAAGCATGCAAGTGCACAAGCACATAGTGAGAAAAATATCTGAATTCCATTGGCGGATATGTAGATTAACATATCAGATTAATGCTTCACAAAGTAACTGTCTCCCCATTATAACCACCTGACATTGTAACTATAGCAACCATGTGCTCTGAATTTTCAAGGCAATTCAGATTAATCATATTCGTCTGTTCCATTGGCTGCCTAAGTACACTCATATTTTTAAAACTATGATAATTTTTGATTCAGAAACAGTAAGCTGCATACAATTAGGACTTAAGTAACGGCCTAAACCACAGAGCTGTTGGGAGGATTTTATGTAGTGTCTAGAACACAGAAGAACTGTGTGTGGATAGGTTAAATCTGTGCGGAACGATGACAGATGTGGCTGTGAAGGCCTGAACAACACACAAAGGGGTTCACAGGAAACAACTCAGGTAGGTATCAAGAGAGACTTTTCTTTAGTTATTTGTGGTTCAAAATTTTACCCAGGATCCAGTGAAAAGAATGAAGGTGAACCCCAAAACCATCATACAGTAACAACCATGTATCTTCTGCTGTGGTATTGTGCTTTCAAGTAACTAATCTGGTGCTCAAAGTAAAATACATATTCCTTCCAAAAGACTCCTATAAAGTTCTACAGACAATATTTGTATTTGTTTCTTAATATCCTTTTTCTTTGCAATATAAGATTTTTTTCTAAAATATGCTAATAAGAATAGTGACCAGTATTTAGGGTGTATTAAGCATGGTACTTAAATGAGTTACATTTTTTTTTTCATTTATAATTAGTTTCACAGGTAAGGAAATCCAAATGGAGGAAACTGTCCAAAGTTGAATAGCTATATACATATAAAGCCAATCACAAGATCTATGTTCTTACTGTTTTTTTTTTTTTTTGTTTTTTTTTTTGTAAGCCTCATCTATGGCCACACCACCCTGAATGTGCCCAATCTGGTTTTTAGTAAATTTTGAGGAATTACTTTTGGAACTAACAATAATGGTGGGGAGTTAAGAAAAAAAGCTTCTTCTATATCTATAACAAAGATAGCGGCAACAACATGTAAAGAAACTGAAAGGATTAAATTATGCATGAAGGTAGCACAAAACGCAATAAACAGATGGTCAGGGGTACTGGCAACCTCCAAGGGATACTAAATGACTCAAGTAAACACGTCAAATTATTTGTGTGCTAGCCATCTGGATCGCTATGCATATTTTTTTTTGCTATGCATATTATAATCAGAAAAGGAAGCAATCTAAGATAACACCAAATCATTAAAATTATACACACTGGCAAAATAAATTATCTTCATTTGCCCATTTTTATAAAAATTTATCTTTTTGTATTAGTTTTGCTTTTGGAAAACAAAACATCTTGCTGAAATCAAGGAGGTCAGAGATTAAATCTTTCAGTAGGTCAGAGGGGAAGTTCAAATAATTAGAAATGGATAAATAATCATCTGATAAATAAAATATTAGTAAAGTGTTTACAAATTAAGAAAATGGCATTTATTTCTGTTTTGCTAAATGTAATTGCTATGAGCATGCCCCTGAAATTCGTATGTTAGAGATGTAGTCCAAGTTCACAAGGTAATTAGGGAGGTAATTTAGGAGGTAATTAGGATTCGATGAGTCCATGAAGATGGAAGCAACCATGGCTTTATAAGAGGAATGGGGACCTGAGCTAGCACACTTGCTCAGTGTCACCATGTGACGCTTCCCACTATGTCAGGATGTAGCAAGGCTCCTTCACCAGATGCCAAAAGAAAGATGTTGGACTTCCCAGAGACCAGAAGCAAGAGGCAAATTAACTCTATTCTTTATTAACTAGTCTCAGGTATTTTGTTACAGCAACAGAAAGTGGACTAACACAGTGTACACACACACACACACACACACACACACACTCACTCACACACACACATACTAGTTTACCTGGGATCCTTCAATATCTCTCAATATTTAACAGCATTTCCCCCATTACACTGTCAAGTACAGCAACACTAATCCGCCTGTTACAATGTCAGAGTGGTTACTTCACTGAACTCACTGTCTGAGGCATTCCACACTGAGGCTTCAGTCACTGCCAAATCTTTTGGTTGTTTTTATAGAAAGGCTGCATAATGTAGCTGACACAGCATGAAATCTGGAATTCTGTTTGAAGGGAATGTTTGTTGTACTGTGATTTAACGTCTCCAAGCTTGTTTAGAACAGTAAAAAAGAAGTATTTAACATTTCTGCATGACTTAGAATACTTTTTTTATTTGGTAAAGCTATTATCTTGTCTATTTGTCTCGTTAGATTGTGTGGCAGCACATGAAAAACGCATAATTGTATGCTTGACATATCACAGTGCTCAATGATGGCTACGTTATTCTTTTCACTTTTAAGAGTTTCCAAGTTAAAGGCATCCCTCCTTTATCATAAATGCAAAGTATTAGGAATGGAAGACCAAATCTTTCCTGAAGATAAGCTCCAAGTGCACTGAGAAGCAGAGGTAGTCACAGGATGTCTGAACTGCCATAAATTACTGAACGTATCCCAAGCCTTACATGTGTAAGATATTACAAACACAACAAGAAAATCTGACCGAGCCACGAGGAGGGAAGGTGGAGGCTCAGACTACCCAGTGAGAGGACAGCCTGCCTGCAGGAGACCACACAGCAAAGCAGGGTCCAGTGCTGCCCCCGTGTGGGGGCCTGGAATATGGCTAGAGACGTCAAGAGTCACGGAAACCGTTAAAATACACCCAATATATTTTCCATGCAGTGGTAACTACAGAAAAGTGATGTCAGTCAGCTTACAAAAGATTAAAAAGTAAAATGATCAATGAGATAAGAGGATATAATCAAGGCATGCACATTTTGAATCAAAAAGTCAAGACTAAAGGCCACACAAATCACAAGGTATGTTTTCAAATCTATGATTTGCTTTTTTGTTTGCTTTTTAGTTCCAGGCTCATATTTCTAGACTCGTATTTCTTTCTACGAACAATTTTGGGATAATTTTTACTCATTTCTTCTAATGACAGAAAGTTGGACACAGTTCTTTGTACAAGGCTGTATACCATTTTGAGCTGGAAAACTACAAGGAAAAGTTCAAAGTGGTATTAGAAAATTACGTTTTTTCTACGTATTTCTACTTTGTTATAGATGGTATAAACTGATAAGCACTCTTTTTCTCTTCCTAAAAAGAACTACTTACCTTTTAAGATTTAATACGAAGTCTAAAAGGCAGCACACTAATGAGAAACACATCCATCACAAGTCAAAATGCACATGTGTTCCCTGCAGAATTATTTGAAGGGTTATAATTGTGCATTTTTCCCTGGAAAAACTTCATATTTTAATTTGAAAGTAAAGACCCAGAAAATTGATTTTTAAATTACTTTGCCAAGAAAAAGGCCCAGCTTTTATGGAGTAAACATCACTGTAACTATTTAAACTATGAGAAAATATTTTATTTCAGGGGAATAAACTGGTTAATCTCTACATGTAATGAATACGGTTAAGCTATAAGGGACACAGAATAAGATACACAAATCACAGAATTAATATAGGACAAAATATTAAGATATAGTTTTAAATATTAAGATATAGTTTTAACTGATTTGTGCTTAGTTTTTAGTATAAATCTTGGTATCGTTTAGGTTTTGTTAATTATTAAATTAATAAAGCAGGAATTTTTTCTTCTAAATGCAATTAAATATTTGAGGTCAGAATTATCAGTGTGACAGTCCAACTCAAAAAATATAATAAAAACTGGATGAGTGTGGTGGCACAGGCCTGCAATTCCAGCACTGGGGAGGCTGAGGCAGGAGGACCACTGCATGTTCAAGACCAGCCTGGGCTCCCTAATGAGTTCACAGCCAGCCTGAATTACACAGTGAGCCCCTGTCTCAAAAAGAAAAAACAAGAAGGGGGGGGGGAGAAAAATTAAACAAGTATTCAAAATGATGTAAGTTTAATAGCTTTAAAGTCCATGAATTTATAGATATACATTAATACTACTTATGTTAGACATCACCTAGCTTCCAAATATTATCACAGAATATTTGTTTTAAATGCACCATGAAAATTTGCTCTTAGTCAAAACATGAGTTTTAGCAAATGAGAAAAAAATTCCAGTGTCTTGAATCACACTTTCTCAGCAAATGAGTCACAGAAACCTGCTAAGGCAGTGTGCCAGCAACTCCAAACTGATTTCACTGCTGAATTAAATAAATGCAACCTTACCAATGTAAGATGTTATTTTTATTTTACATATAATGCTTTAAACAATATATATCATGCGTTTAAAAGATAAATTGGTATATATACATATCTATACCATTTTTTTCATATGCATGGATCTGTAAAATCAACTCTTTAGTCTCCAACCTACCCCAAAAACTAAAGATGTATCCTTAAATGTTCAAGGTATGTGTATTTCATTTTTCTAACACTGTGCACTTGAGAAGCATACAACAAATACTTGTTGACAAAGTCTCTCTCTTTTAAAACACAGTTGAACCAATATAAGACAGAATATGACTAATATATTATCAATATTTGTATGAAACCTAAATCATTGTCAAGACACCATTATAGCCAATCTTCTATGTATAAAATCATAATCTTGACTAAGTTAAATCTGAGATCTTTATTACTCACTTTACAGAAATATCTTCAGTGTCTGCTGACTTGTCTACTTTTTCCCCTTTAAAACAAATTAGTGGTGATTTGGTATGATTTTTCCCCCCTAAGATTCATTCAGCTAGTTAAACAAGGACACTGAATGCTAAAGTAGGATTTTTATTTAAATTTAGATTCCATTTTTAAAATGGAAGCTTATTTTCCGAAGTAAGAAAGAAATGTACTTCTGATTGAAAATGGGTTTCCCTGGATACAGTCTAGCTACTTAAAGTTGCAGAATGCTATTAAAGTATGCATGAAAATGCTTCATGATTCAAATACTCATGTCAGACTGTAAACATATATTAATATAAGACTGCCTAAGAATTCTGATACATTACCTGTTGATGCTGTAGTAGTACAAATTTTAAAATGAAAATTAACTTTAAAGCAATACTTTGCATATTAGAGATTATATAACAGTTACATAATAGAAACTGCTACTGTTTCTAGTACTGTTTATAGTTTGTAAATTTCCCTAGTTTAATGTAAGAAATAAATGAAATCAAGAAAATGATTATTTCTATCATTTATTTCTATCATTTATCTTACCTCGTCACTTTTTTAAAAACATTGTTTATTATAGTCTAGGGACTAAAATAATTGAAAATATTATTTTAATGCAATTTTCATGAAATGTAAATTAGCAATCACAAAGTGGCACCTCCTGTAAAACCTGTAAAACTGGTTCTGTTTTCTAATTCTCTCCGGACACAGCTGTGAACTGCAACCCAAGTCACCTCATCCATCTTCACAATAATGGCCACAAATTAGTTTCTCTATTAAATCTTCCCGCAATGCATTTGTTTATTTGCTGCTCTGAAGCAACTGAAACTTTAGAATTTCAAAATCTAGAGTTTTAATTCTTCTGAAACACACTATGTGCCAGTTTGATATTTAAGATATACGGGGTTACAATGTTTTGTTAAAATACTTCATATATTCACGAAAGGGGAGAGAAGGCAATGCTCTCAAGTTTCCACAGACGCTGGCGCTTCTCAAATTTTATAGTTCAAATTCTTCCTAGAGACGAAAGCATCCACAGCAACAACGGCAGCGATACTTGCACGTGGATCATAATGCTAACCATAAGCGACTCTCAGCCCTGCTCACCTCATGAACAAACCGCTCCCGGTAAGGTAGGCTTTCTGGTGTGCATGGCACCAGTGCATTTAAAATAATCCTGAAAAGCAACTTTTGATGATCCTACAAAGCATTCAGTGTTTTGCTTGTTTTTCCACAAAATTCTTTGTGCAGCATTCTAGACCACTAAATGGTGTTCAGAAGGCAGAAATTAATCCTGCTTAAAGAAATCTGACAATTGCTTTGTCTCATGACAGAGAAAACATAGTGTTTTAGAATCTGGAGGATTGAAATGACACGGGTAAGGCTTCTACCTTGATCTCTCCCTGTCCCAATTTTGCGACCTGTTTTTAGGTTTCAAGATTCATTATAAACCGAAACTACCAGAAAAAAGGGGATGCCTCTCTAACTGGCCACATCTTTGTAAAACGTTAGAAACCAGATTTTTTACAAAGATTGATAAAATGGTTGCTATTTTACAAAATATACTATTTTGATAAAACATTAAAGTTGTTTTGAAACTTTTCTCTTTAAATGTGCTGAATTTCTATATTGACATTTATGTTTAATAGAACATCAAAACAACTTAGTAAGCCTAAAAAAAAGAATAAGGGAACACTGAAAAAGGTTCACTTTCTTTACCCGGTGCCAGCAGAGATACGCCAATGTTTTTACTAAAATTAAAGATGTTACTAAAAATCCTTGCTGCAGCAGTACATACGGCCTTTAAAGCTTGATTTTATTGAATGACTAAACAAGACCTAGTTATTTTTCAGCAGTTTAATTCTGCCACTATATTACAAAAATAGCATTACTAAATATAACTAATTTACTGTCACTAAAGCATAGCAGAAATAAATGTTAAATGTTATCAATAATTAGGAAGCTTTGTCAAAAGTCAGCTCCTGTTTTTTATTGAACCACCAATAAATTTATCTTTGCATGCTTAAAGTTTAATAATTGAACACAAAGCAAATGGCAGGAACGTCTGACCTTAGTAAAGGCTTTCATTATTTGTGTACAGATGACTTCTGTTACCACGAGAAGTTTAACATACTCATTAAAACAGATGTAGCCATAGTAATTATTATTGTATCTAATTAAAATAAAAGGCAGATCCAAAATATATTTTCCTTTCTACTATATTTGTATAACTGTATTTTTGCCTCTAAAACTGATTGCTGTTTCTTACAAAGAAGTTTTTCAGCTTGATTGTCTCTGAATTTGCATATGAGTATTCTCACATCAGAATTTCAAAAATAAAGACCTATTTCAGACTTAGGAACAGAATACACATGCCTCAGTATTTACTTCCATAAACTTAGCATTTGATACACTGATGAGTCCAGTCTTTGCACATGCTCTCAAGAAGTTTGTATTGCTTGCTCAGCGCAGAAAAATTTCTAATAAATATAAAACCTTAGACCTACTAATAAATGGAGTAGTTAGTAAGTAGAGTCTGGGTTCAGGTACTTTTATAGTTAAGTATGAAAATACTAAATACTAAATAAAACAAAATCAAATCAATTAGAACAAATAAAATAGAAATAAATAAAATAAGAAATGTCCAAAGGCACCATTAATTATAAATTTAGATTAGTTAACTTTGTAGTTCATATTATTTTTCCATATTTTACTTAAATGAACCACTGAGTTTATTTAATGTTTTTTTAACTACTTACTTGAGGTTGAACCACATAAATTCAATCAGGTCCCTCAGTGAAGAATCAGAGGTTAAGATACATAGCTGATTTCTCCAGAATTTGTCACATACCAAAGATAATGATGTATGTAAAGTACACCTGGACACACATAAACAAGCCTGAGTATAATCAACACATTCTGGAACATGTCCAGAGAAGCTAAACAGTGACCACAAAAAAAGAAATGTACTGGCTATGAGCCTATGGGTTTAAACAAAAAGGAATTCAGACATGTTTTCAGAGAATGAAAAATTGAAACTTTTAGGAACCCAAGCTAAAGAGTAACTAAACAGATGCTGTTTAATAATTAACCATAGAACTATTTATACAGTTTCATTTAATCATTTCAACAACTCTATGTGGTGGTGACAAGAAAATGAACCGGGGAGAGGTGAAGTGACAAAATCCTTGGTATCTGCACCAGCACTTCTGGTTAATTTCAGGTGCACTGCAGCAAACTTAAAACTTAAAAGTATTCCAAAAATCTTGCTGAATTCAAGGTAAAATCTCTACTTAATACTACCTCTACACCTGTGAAAGAGAAACTGGTAGAATTATGAATTTAGTTATGTCAAATCCAATCAAGATTTTTATCAGAAACATAGCAGTCCATTGCCTTTTGAGGGGAAGAAGGGAAGGTGAGGGGAACAGATGGTTCTCTTTAATCAGAGTGACAGCAGATTAAGCTTGGATTTACAGGTTTGGGGTTTTCAGATATGCGCTGGGAAGATGTGCACGCATCTGAGAAGGGACATGCATTAGGGGAACGTGTTTCTAGTACGTGCCTGGCAATTTGAGTAAGTTGAGTTTTAAAGTTGATCTTGAATTCTCGAGGAAATTGGGATATTCAGTGAAGGTAGGATGTGTTTGAATTTTACTTGTGTAAGTTTTTAAAAATTCACTGAAGAGCTTTATTATTTAAGTCTGCATCCTTAAGTTTTTTTTATCAATAATACAATCTAAAGGAGTTTATATAACTAAGCATTTTAATTAAAAGGGGCTGGCTTTTTGATAAGCTGAAAAATATTTTACATAAACATACTTCACACGTCTTTTTCCTAGCCTTAACAAACTGGAACATGAAATTTAATCCTCTTCTCATAAGTATTTTATAGCTATTCTTCATGACCTACTCATTTTATAGAACTCTGATACTACAGAACAAAATTTCTGAAGTATGTAAATGTGTCCTTTTCAAATAAAATAAAATCAGTCATTGCAATTAAATATCTTAAATTAAAATGTAAATATAAATGCAGCAAGGGAGTCTCTCTGCCTCAGACCTCACTGGTTCCCTTCTTTACTGGGTCTTGGCATAGTCCTCACCACTGGCACTGGGGTATTTACTAACGAGCTGTTGGATCTCATTAGAGGTGGAAAGCTAGTTGCACATGTATAAGTACCATCAAGTGGACATGCCATATGTAAATGGATCGATTCCTGTGAATGGAAACAAATAGGTCCCAGTCGCCTAGGACAGACATTTTACTCATCTCTGAGAAAGTATCACTTTTGAAGGTTCTTTAAAAATTATAAGTTAGGATTTAAGATGCATTGGAATTTCATCATTTTTAATTCCCAGTCCCCCAAAATAAGCATGCTTACATTTGACATAACAAATCACCAACCCACAAGGATTTTCCTTAGGTTTCCTCAAATGCTAATTATGTAGCAAATCTAATTAAGTTCATATGATTCTCTTCAGGAGTAGGTACTTCAGTTACTTCAGAACTGCCAAAAGGGATCTGAAGTGTCTATTCTTCCTCCAAAACAATCATGCTGCACGCCAAACTGATAACCATTAAACACAGCTGCAGAGCAAATGTGCGGTCTTGGTTTGGTAAATATAGTGTTCATACATCAATCTGTGCTCTGAGCAATTTCAGATTCAGAACTACCGATTGCAAGTTTACATTACTGTTACGTGAGTATTAAATATATGAGTATTAAGTCATTTCTTTCACCCAGCACAGTTTGAGCAGATTTCTATATGCCATGAAAATTTCCTTCAACTAAGAACATACACAGAAACTAAAAACCTCAAACAGTGATAAATAGATTGGATCAAGATCTTGTTGGATTGATTTGTTTTCAAGCTATATGGTTCATATGAAAGAAAATAAAGGCTATTTTGTCTTTATTCTCATTCACATGAATCACAGGTGTTTGAGAATATTTATGAAATAATTGAGCTGCAATATATTTAACATCATTTCTGAAGAAAATCACATATGGCCATTATTAAGAATGTTTTCTTTTAATTATAGAATGTAAGTACAAAACAAATCTATGGCAGAGTTGAAGAAATTAACTTTTTTTGAAATTTTCAGTAACTCAATTTCCATGGAAAGAAGTCCTTGACAGAGGGGCTCTCTAAACTGGATGGGTTGCTGGAGCTTAAGGTCATGACCACATTTCCTCCAGAGGCTGTCAGATTACTATGGCAACTACCTCTCCCTTATCAATACACAAGAGCTACAAACACTAGTATTCTGAAAAATCATTTTCTTTTCTGCAATGATAACAATATGTCCTAGTTACAAAACTGAAATATACCTCCTTTTGTGCAAAACAAATAATATATCTGCTGTCTAAATTATTGTACAATTCAGCTTTGTAAATAAATGCCGAAATAGTGAAACCAGCCATTGTACTTCAGTTTCAATACAAGGCAGAATTTGTGACATAAGTAATCCATAGATATCACAGCTGGAGTGGGTTATGTATGTGGATCCAATGGAAGAAATACGAGTCTTTAGAGAACAAATGACTTATCAGAAACACAACTGGCAATAGAAAAACAACACATGCTTCTACAGTTCTTGGAGTTTCTTAAAAGAAACACATATTTCAATAGTTATAATTCTTATTTATACTTATTTCCAGATTCTTTGCAGGGTAATAAATAAGTTGAAACATTCTAAATTGATGACTACTTCCAAATTAAACATTCACTTCTTTTTTTGTTTTCTGTCTTTCTCGGCTCAAGTATCAACAGCTAAAACTCTAAGCAGTGTGTTCTTTTAGGTGAAACCAACATCACCATTATCAAATACATGGATTTACAAAGCCCACTGCATAAAAGTGCAATGCATAACCTAGAAGAGTCACCAGTAAATCTGCTGAATGCATGAATGACTCTACAGGTTAAAAAATTTCAGTCTGTTCCACCGTGGGACATTCATGAGTATAGGTCACGAATGAGGCCAAAAATCCAACAAAACAAAACAACTCAGAAAGACAAGAAATGAGGAACAGAGGTTTTTTTTTTTACTCCTTAGCAATTCCTAAACACCGTCTTACTCATTCACCAGATGCCACAGTGTTGCTGCTAGAATTCTGTCTCTCCTTGAGTTATGAGATTTTCCTGGCCCTTCAAAGCTTATTCTTTACATCTCCCTTTTTCCCCCAAAATCCATTATAGACATTCCAACAGTTTTTTTTTTTTTTCTTTTAAACACAGCCTGCTTCTCTTCTCCAATTCTCTTTTTCCTATACGCTGCTGTGTTCACATGGTTTACCTTCAAATTAGGCTCAAATGGCCTTTTCTAGGAAATTTTCAGGAACCTGTGTTGTTGGGTTATTTGTCGTTGTTTTTAGATGCATGTGATTAACCAGTCACGGTTAATCATTTATGAATGTCCACTATGTCTCTGTCCTTGCAGGTTTATGTTATCCTTGGAGAAACACATCTTGGAAAGCATGCAGGCACAGGGAACGCTGAGCTGCACAGTGTGCTCAGGACACTAACGAGGAGTCCTATGAGGAAGGAGAGGAGCCCCCACGCAAAGACCCCTGGAGAAGTATGCCTGCCAGGTCACACAAGTACGAAGGCACAGAGGCAGAAGAGTCACTAGTGAGATCCAGGGAAGGAGTGAGCAGGCCTTTGGGACTGTGGTGTGGGGAGGAGGGCGAGTGCCACAGAAGTGGGAGAGTGAGGAAGGGGGGACAGGGACGGTCTCACAGCCCCACAGCAAACAGCCGGGCCTGGCAATACCACAGTGACAGGTGGTTTTGATATTTTATGTATCAACATATTACAGAATATATACGAGTGGCTATGGAGCTTTACAGAATTCTCAGGGTCTTTATAGGAAATCCAGAAATACCATTAGAGATGAATAACGGAGGTGCTATAGTTTGAATAAGTCACAATACAGCAATAAGAAAGTAAGTCAAATTACACAAAGGAAAGGTAAAAAAAAATTAAAAAAAAGAAAGAATAATTTAAAGATTGACACTAAAGTAATGAATTTTGAGAAAATTATGAAACTACAAATAGAGGAATTTGGGAAGGGATTCCAAAAATCAAACTCACAATCTCTCACTTGCCAAGCAGGCACAGTGCCACTGAGCTATAGCCCCATCTCAGAGGATTTTAAAATTGAAAACACCTTGCTACAATACAGTTTTGGGCTAATAACCAGAATCCTTTTCTGGCTAGAATTCAATTATCTTTTCCTTCTAGTAATCTAATGTATTTATTGCCATACTCAGTGTATTAATGACAATATCAATTTCCCTTACTACTGGTCTGTTCCTCCTCTTTCTCATCTTCTCAGTACTGTTTTTTTTTTTTTTTTAAGTAACTATTATATATTGCCAAGAAAAGACTCAAAATTGAGTAACCTAGAAACATGTACAAAGATCACATTTCATAAATGCTATCTCTTGTCCCTTTGGTGAGGAGGAGGGATCTTCTATGGATAGAAGCAGATTTTCATATGCTTTAGGGGCATTGTAAGATCCTCATTCTTTCTGTGATTTCAGCAAGAATGATTACAGTATAGCAAATTCTGAGCTAGGACCGTAACAGCTGTGGTCTCTAGAAACTCAAGAGAATTCTGAGATGGTCTACACATAAAGGCAAAATGTAATTAGAAAGATTTTTATGTTCCCAACTGTACAAAGTTCAAAATATTTGCTTTTCCTTAACATTTAGTTTTATTTGTATTAATTGAATTTTGCATTGTTTGAGAATTCTAATTTTCTCTAGGTATACATTAATTTCTTAGAAAATTTAAATAAATTATAATTAGCTATTTTTATGTTGTGAAAAAAAGAATGACAAAATATCTCAACTTCTTTGGACCTGCACTAGGAAGAAGATGACTGAATCCTTGTGCCAAATCTGTTATGAGGTAGAAAGGTGACCAGAACCACAGCTCTCCTCTTTCAACCATGTCATCCACACTCCCAGCAAACACTGATCAGCCTGATGATAAGAAAGTCAAACTTCCTTTAACAGAAGTCAGGAGAGCATACAATCTGGCACACAACAGGCATTATACAAACAATGTTCACCTGAAAAAGTCCAGCTTTCTCATACCGTCACAGCTCTCAGGCTGGGGGAATCACAAGTGCTTAAGAATCTCTGGTCTTGGGGCTGGGGATTTAGCTCAGCGGCATAAGTGCTTGCCTTGCAGGCACTTGGTCGTGAGTTCGATCCCTGGTAGCGATAAAAAAACAAAAGAATTTTTGGTCTTTCCAAACTGATAAAAGAAGTCAACATACTTTTCACAAAAAAAACTTTAGTCTGGAATTCTTAACAAAGCTTAAATTTAAAAGACTGTCAGATATCCATCTTAAAACTAAGATGGCAAGAAATGAAAATAAAATATGGATGGCCAGAGAGCTAAAACATCTACAAATAAGATCACAGAACACATAAAACCTGGTCATACTGGTGAAAATAACCTTACCACCATAAACAAAGTGAGCAGGAAAACCGTGTCCCCAAAGGAAAATGTCAGAAGTTTGTAAGTGCAAAAACCATACAGAAAATACTATTTCTAAGAAAAACCCAGTAAGTTTGACAAAATCTTCCACAAAGAAAATATAATCTCCAGAGGTTAAAATGTAGGATTAAAAATAAAAAGCAGGTTCCATCTCTTCAAAGGGAGATTTAAATCTCTAGGAGATGGTAAAATGTTGCAGGTTTAGTCTAAAAACAAAAAAAAAAAAAAATAAACAAAACAAGTAGGACAGACAAGACTACAAGCAAAAAATACAGCATGGGCAAACTGCAAATCTAAAAACGTCCTACATAATAAAACAGGTCAACAACTCTCAAACTTCAACTGTGAGAAACAAAACGATCTAATTATAAAAAGGGAGAAAGACAGAACAGACATTTCACCAAAAGACAGACACAGATGGCAAATAAACACATAAGATATTCAACATCATTAATATACTCAAATATTCACAAGAGTTTTTGTTGTTGTTGCTGTTTGTTTTTGTAAAAGAAAAAAGTGAAAACAATTCAAATGACCTTCAGTGGGTGAATGGTTAAAAAACTACGGTGCATTTATACCATTAAAAAATAATGGTACTGTGGGAACAATAAGAAATGGACTACTGATTATACAACCTGAGTGAAGTTCAAAGACTATGCTTAGCAAAAAAAACTCTCAAAAAAGTAGCACACTCTATGATTTCATGTACATAAATATTCTTGAACGCACAAAACTAAACATCTGCGGAAAAGATAACTGGTTGCCCAGCAGATGAGTGATTGCGTGAGTGGGGTACAAACGTAGAAGTGCAGAGTGAGAGGGTTCCTGAGACGGCGCAGCTCTTCCTCATGGTGGCAGCTACTCTTAGCTATATGTGGGATAAACGGCACAGGGACTGTAATGGGTTAAGAATTGGTGGTCAACTTAACGCCAGCTGGATTACATCACCATGCATTGAGCGAAGATGCTCCACCTGAGGAAAGTTGCCAGGATAAATAGGTGGAGAAGGGAGCTGTAGAGGGCTGAGGCGTTAAGGAGGCATTGTGGGTTCTCCTACGAGTTGCTCTCTGAGCTGTTGGTTCTCCTGGAGAAGCTCTGGTCCTCGCATCAAGCACCACTTCCTAGCTCCAGAGGGGAAGACATGTGCTGCCTGGTCTCCAGGATGAGCTCATCACGCTGCTTCCTGGCATGTACCCGATTGTGCTTGTCATTGTCGGAGCTCGGGGCCTCCATGTTGTTGAGGATGGCTGTGGTGCCTTTCAGGACAGCCCTGGTCTTTGTTGTGAGTGTGACTTCTCGGCTCCAGCATGGAACCCTCATCCCACTAGCACAGCTCCTTCACCCCACTGGCATAGACTTTCTGGCTTCCACCACTGACCCTTGGGTCTTCCGGGCACGGATCCGTAAAAGAGACTGGCATGAGTCTTTCTTGTGGGCTCTGGACCTCCAGCTGGACTCGTGGGAGGCATTGTCCTGAGCTCTGGATTTTTATCTGGACTCATGTGGGACATTGCGGTGGGGTTTAGGCTCTTGACTAAATAATCTATGTCTTTGGCATTGCGGATAGATTTCCTGCATTTTCCTGTGTTAACTCGCGGTGACCATTATAAAAATATTATAACTCCATGTCCTGATCTGAATTGTTCTCTGTGTACAACCCCTGACTACAACAGGGACACATACACACAGTGAAAACTGAGTAAACTGTACCAATATTAGGTGGCATTTTCCAATTGTGATACTGTCCAATGTGAGGTGTCACCTTGCAGGGAAGTTGGGAGAAGGAAGACAGGTTGATAAATGCCATGCTTGCAATTTCCAGGATCTACAATTATTTCAAAAATGTTTTAAAGATTTTTTTGAAGAACAGATGCAAGTTGAATGTCTTGTTGCTCTGTACCTTTCCATAACAAAGGTAGTTTATATAAATGCAGGTAGAACAGTGAGAAATAGGATGAAAAACTATGCACGGCTCTCATGAATTCTGTCAGTAAACATCTGGGTGCCTGGTTACTCAGTCTTGTAAGTCTCTGTTTCTCTCATGTGTAGGAATAGGAGGCTTACCACACCTCCTAAAACTGGATGTTTTTATTTTAGTGACATGTTTGCTATGCAGTGGGTGCTGAAAAATATTAGTTTACTTGTTTTTTTAACTTATCTTAAACTACAGTAACACAGACAAAACACAGACAGATAGACATGTAGACAGATCACAATCCTAAGTTTCAAAACAGCAGATCTCAGGGATGCGTTAGTCCTAAGGCCCACGGAAGTAATCCCAAAGAATGAGGGACTTTTTGCATTAGTCAAGCAGTAACATTAAGTTCCTACTGCAGCAGCATTACAGCAGAAACTCCTTCTCAAAAACAGTCTTTTATTTTATGATAGCTTTAAGTTTACAGGAAAATTGTCATAATCATCTGCAGAGTTCTCATAAACTCCATAGCAAGTTTCCATTATTTTTAATATTTTACATTAGTACAGTATACTTGTCACAATTAATGAATCAACACTGCTTTATTATTGACTAAAGTCCAATCATTACTCAGTTTTCCTCAGGGTTTTTTTTTTTTCCACCCTTAATGTCTTGTTTAGACTCCAGAATTCTATTCAGAATCTACATCAGACAATGCAGTCTACTTCTATACTGAGACCTCCTGAGCAATCACAATTTCTCGAGACTTTCCTTGTTTTTGATGACCTAGACAATTTTGAGGAGAATCGCTCATGTATTCTGGGATGTTTCTACATGTCCCGTGCTTCTTGTGACTGGACTGGGGTTTTGGAGCTTTTGCTGAAGTATTTTCAACCTGAAACTCTGATTTTAAATTGAACAGAAGTAACTGAAATCTGACAACGTAAATTTCCAGAAAATAACAAGTGGTTTTCCATCATTTGGAGAAAATTACTGCAGGATATCAAACAAATTTTAAAGAACATGACCATAATCAAGTAGATCCACTCTACCATACATTCCAAAAAGGATAAACAATAGTTTTTCCCATAAAATCGTAATCAGAAAAAAGTAACATTATCTGCCTAAGAGCCTCACAAATGCAGTAACAGAAGTGCCAAATTCTGCCACAACTGCAACTTCATGAAGCAATGTGTGTTTACATTAAAGATCAATACGACATGCTACAGGTTGTTATATATTACAGTGATTAAGTGAATAAATCACATATAAAATACTAATGCTAAACTATAATCTGATATATGTTATATTCTAAAATATCAGAGAAAGATGATTTTTGTCTGAAACATTTGTTACTCAGAGAAAAACAGCACTACACAGTACCTCTTGTATGCTTTTCAATACTACCCTCACAAATTTGCATATGTAAAATTATTCATTATGTTAAATCACTGATTTCTGTGTACGTAGTGACCAGTCCTGGCTGCCACCTAGCATTCTTTCCTATCTTCCTGTATAGGCCGAGGAGTGCTAAGCCTTCCCGCAGCTTGCGTGGGCTTGTGCTGACTTAATAAGCCAGCATACTCCAAACTCTGGCCTCACTCACTAGAGGAGGAGACACGACATGTTTCAGCAGGAGGAATCCAGAGCTCTTGCTTAGAACTGCTGGAGCCAGATGGCCACCAGGAGGATACATCAGCTCCACCATCAGGTATCTGACACTAATCTCTCTCCTTGTTGGTTTAAGAAAGAAAAGGACAAGGTTACCATGGGAAGGGGGAGATTGGCAGAAAAGAAAAGAAAAAGTGTGGAAAGAGGAGAGAAGGGAGGGCAAGTGGAAAGATAAAAGGTATATCAAAATTCACCTAGAAGCTTCTGCAAAATCTCCATCCCTAATCCATAAATTATTGATACCCTGGCTCAAATGAGTGACAGAGGCCAGTTGCTACATACCATAACAGTTCATGCTCGCATGCTTTCACAGATATGAATATGCTACAATCCTGGGACGATCGTTTTTCTTGTACCTTTTTTGCCACTCAAACTGACCAAAATGATAGTTTACATTTCCTGCTTCAGTTTCTTCCTCTCATTCATTCCAACATTAATTCTACTCTCATCATGCTCTACTGCAGTCTCCTCTATTTGCTCTATTTGTCTCCTACATGGATTCCCAATGTGAAATCTTTTTGAAAAGATGTTACATTTCACAAGTGTAGCTGCATGCGAATAAATGTTACAGAAATATTTTATGTACATTATAAAGCTGGAAGAAAACTATCTGAGGACAACTTTGCTACTCACTAATGAAACAAAAAATTTAGAATATAAGTATCCTACCAAACTTGGGAGAAAAAAGGACTGTTATTCATAATGATTTTGAATTCATTTGAATTCAAATTTTTTTCTATTTAAAGTGTTAACTTTTACATAACCCAAACTTCCTCTTGCTCATTTGAGAATGAATTGAAAACATACATACATTTTAAATTTAGCAGTACTTACAACTAGTAATGTTTAAGCATTTAATATTTTATTGAAGAAGTATAAGCAGATGTAAAAACTGATTTTATATTTCTCTATTAATATTCTAAATTACCTTTAATCACTTTTAATCTGAGGGGAAGTTAAGTTTTTCTTAAATTATCCTCCTTCAAATTATCTCATTAAAATTACAAACAATAAATATATAATTTCAGTAAGATAATAATGTGAGATCTTCCAAATGAAAATTAAAGATTATAACTTGTCTCGATAGGAAACTGGTAATCTCTAACACTTAGTACACACATTCCCACATGTGGAAGCTCTATCCACATGCTTCAATACACATTCACATACCACCAGTGTGCTATAAAGTTCTTTAGACGTAACTCCTTAAATATAAACAATAGAAAAAAGTTGGTCTCTATCAAGAAATTTGTTTCATATACTGAGATCAGAAAAAAGGAGAAAATCAAGAAAGACCCTGATGATGAATGGTGATGATGACATGGTACAGCAATTTTGCTGAATGTTTTCTATGTGATATTGCTATTCTAAAACAGCATTGTTAACTCATTCAAGATTCACTACACTCCAATGATTCAGGTGTTGCCACTGACAAAGCCAAGGATTACAAAGCTAAGAAAGCTGTGTGAGACCTTACTACAGGTGATACACATAAAGGTCCACCTATATCCTGATTCTTATTGGTTTGCTCTAAAACCAAGAAGAAGAAAAATGCAAGTTGTTGCATGTATTCTTTTTCCATCAGAAAATTCACAAGCACACTTATTTCCATGAGCTGTGTGAAAGTCTATGCCGTTTCTGAGTGCAGATGCTTCTGGACATCTTTCCCAAAAGCCACCCAGCGGCTCCTGGAAGCTCATCTTTCTGTGTGCTTCTATCATACTACAGATGTACACATTACTACACAATACACAATTAACACATTTATATGCATACAGACATACACACACATCTATTTATACTGTATGGATGTCTCCCAGTTAGTCTTTTAGCTTGCTGAAGACAGAGGCCATATTATTTTCCTTACATCTTAACATTTGAATGATTAACTGAATGAATAAAATTTTAATCTGATTTTATCAGCTCCAAATTGATTTCCACAGAGAAATGCTGCAATGGGAAGTAAGTTGTAAATAATGAGGTTGTGAATTACTGCCCCAGCACTCACAAATGTTGGGCTTCCACTGCCATTTTCACAGCCTGTGGACAGTGTGCAGCTTGCTTCAAAGAGTAAGGAAGGTTATAGGAAGAACCCTACCAGATGGAGGAACCCAGTGGGACATCGTCTCACAAAAAGACCGAGGGGTGCTGGGGGAGTCAGTCAAAATCCAGCCTATTGTATGAAAGGAGGGACTTAGCTGGGAAGCCCTGGTCTGGACGTGAATATGTGAGATTTTATGCTTTACATGACTATATCTTGGGTCTACCATGGGAAGGAGAGGAAAGGGTCACCTCCTTCAAATCCCTAGACAAGAGTGGCCCACTAGGAAAAAGAGAAAGGGATTAAAATAGGCAGAATAACTGCTCTGAAAATGTCCATCGCGTATTCCTTTGAAACTGTGAATGTAGGCATACTTTTATTTACAGCAGGATAATTCACAATTAGCTAAATCTTTCAAGTAACATATATCCATCAATAGATGAATAAAGAAAATAGGATGTTTACACAATGGAATACTACTCTGCTATAAAGAAAGATAAACTTGAGTTATTGGTAGAAAATTGATATACCTGGATTAATGATAAGTGAAATAAATCACATGTTTAAACATCTTTTGATTTCCTTTATAAGCCTGTAATGGTTGACACATTGCATCAATATGAGAAGTCTAGAAGCTTAACTAAATAACTGAGTAGTTCTACAACCTAAGGTGTAGAGGACATGTCCTTACTGTTTCAAGATGTTGTTCATCGTGTCAACTTGAGAAGTTTAGAAGTTTAAGTGACTCCGTAGGGGGGTAGGGTCTTCGCTTTGTAAATATCCTGAGCCTGCGCAAGAGGAGGGAACAAGGAGGGTGTCAGTGCTGCACCCACCCGAGGGCAGGTAACCTGCTTACAATGTAAGGGAGGACAAGAGGCTAGGTCTCCCTGTTTCGCTCTTGATGCTTTTGCTGTCTTCTTGACCTTGAACCACTGCCCCTCTGCCACGTCCTATCGTGCTGTGAGCCAGCTGCTTATGAACTGGAACCTCCACAAACTGTGAGC